TAAAATATCTTATGAATCACTAAGCAGATCTAAATGATAATGGTAAAACAATTGCTTCCTCTGTGTTGGAGTAGAAACTAGTGCGAGCACTTCGGCTGGCTTAATACCACTGTTTGTAGTGTTGGATCCACTACTAGAGACTGCCGAGGCACTGACAGCCCCATGGTTCTGTGAGTACTATGCTTTTTTTATTATCAGCTCTTGGGATTACTAAGAAGCAAACAAAGAAGCTTCATTGGACTGATTTCCATGCTTGGCTGAAAGTGGAGGATTGGAGTTATATCTTGGAGCAGTCATCTCTTCTCTGTTTGTTGGATTAAACTGTTTGAAGTGTCTGAGATAATGGTGACCTTTGAGGTAAAGCCCAGACGGGAGTTTGGAGAAAATTTGCTTTGCTTTGACAACTGGATTTGAYGGAATTAAGTTTATCACTGGTGAAATAAAAGAAAATCAAACTGAACTTTAAATAGAACTTGTATGATTCAAGTGTGATGACTGAAAATCACATAAAACTGATTTTTTATGTATTTATTTGTGTTTGTGGCTGTTTAATTTAAATGTTTGTAGTTTATTATTTGATAAAGAACAACAACAATAGAGTAAAATAAAATCTGACTGGCACACCAAACAAGATTACCTTTTATTTATTTAGTTTTTAAAATGAAACAATGAATTAAGATTTATCTTTCTTCTTTTCCTTTTTTATTGGTGTTTGCCCTTTAGGTTGTGTAACCTTGAATTTGTGTATGCTCAGGGACACCGTGTAGGAAGTCGCTCGACAGATTTAGAGATCAGTGAAGTCTGGAGCTGCACCGTATAGAGAGCAAATTTCATGGGAGGATATCAAAGAGGGAGGCAGATCGACAAGTAGGCCGACAGTTGTGCGATGATGTTGACAGAGGATGAAGAATGACGGGTGGGCATACCAGGTGGAATTCAGACCGGTAAAAGGAAAATGGTCAGGAAAGCAGACAACCAAAGCAGAYGGGGAAACATGGATGAATATTCAACCAGACAAGGGGTCAGACGGATACTCCGACAGGGACAAAACAGAAAACATACGAGCCTGTTGTGCTTGCAACCAGACAACCATGTGAAATCTGATGAGCTTTTAARCATGAAAGGCAGATACAAACAAAAAGGTAGACACAAGATGTAAGATTAAAAAAAATCTAAATGGACAGACAAATGTGCAGCGTTAAGGGAAAAAAAACTTGGACAGTTAGAAAAACTTTCTTTACAACAACAAAAATCATGTCATATTGAGATGATTCACAAAGTTGAAAAAAAAAAMCAATTAAAAACAATCATAACCAGAGTGAAAAGCCTTTTGGAAAGTTMCCATTGCTTAAATGTCTGACTTTGTTTCAGGGTGACTTGTAACACCTGTCTGAGGACARCAGATGAAAACAAATGGGAAATGCTAATTTTAAATTTTATACAAACTCTCTCTCTCTAAATAATACATGATGCATTGCACAATTAGTGTCTCTGTCTGTGTTTGTAATTCAATATTTATATAAAGGCCTAACGTYCATCACCTGTCTTTAACAGCAGAGTTTTAATCTCTGATCATCTTATGATCACAGAAATGATCAGAAATCATGCTGTTACAGTTCTTGTTAAACTTTGAGAATAAAGCAAGCTCATACATTACTGCAAGATGTCACACTCAGTGAAATTCAGCTACACATTCATCTTTAGCTCAGTATCTGTAAATAATGACTGAATTACAGTCATTGTTTTTTTATTAATATGTCACCTAGCATATCGAAATGAGGACTAAGTCAAATTTGGTCAAAATTATCCAATCACATTTTCAGATTTTTGGCTTTAAAAGCTACATTTTGATACTTAGATCATTCTGATATCTTAAGTGGACCCAAACATATGACTTCATTACGATGATGCATAAATATTTGGTCTAAATCCTAATTTTATGTCATTTTATCAAGGAAGTTGTCATGTCATTATAAAGAGGAAACCTCCAGTAGTTTTTGAATATTGACATTTCCCACATAGAAAGAAACAGAAACTTTGCTTACTCACAAGGAAAGGCTCAAAATTTTAAAGTGTTTTTCCTCAAAATCAGTTTTTTTGTTGTTATTGTTCAAAAGGTGCTTCAATTTTTTTAATTTAAAATTAGATTTCAGACAGTTCATTCAAATAATWCATTGATAAAGCAAAACTTTTAATCAAAACACTACATCTGTCTGTTTATCCTCGTACCACTTTGAGTATTAATCCAATATGATGGGTCAAATATAATTTAGTTTTTTGTTTATTTTTGGTATTTATTGTATGGCTGTTAGGTTGCCTCTAAAAGTTAATCCRTTTTAGACGGACATTTGATATTTGCTTACTGTGATTTTCAACAGCAGTAGAGAAAACTCATATATGCACAGAGAGAACACGCATGTGACCTTCTCACTGTGACGTGATGGCGTACTGCTCCACCGTTCCATCCACAAATTTAAATAACAGCTTTGTGTTATTGTCACATGAACAAACGTGGCACCCTGTTCAAACAATGCAATTATTTAGTTATTTCATTTTTATTTATTTATTTTAAGAATCCATGTCTTCTCTACAGAAAGTATTTTTCTGTGATTCTAGCAATCTTGGCAAGCTGAACGTGTATTTTTTTTTTAAGTTGAAATGTTCTTTGTGAGCTCAACTCAAATGGCAGAGGCAATATTCAGCATCTGTGTGACTGAAATGTCTTTTCATCAACAGACAGAATTAGAGTTGGCACTCTGACTCAAAGCCATTTCGATAGCTTATACATCAGTGTGGAATTGCTTTTAGCAGTGGCAACACTTAAACACATCTAACATTAAATATGTCTGAATATATATGTTTTTTCTAGTTCAATAAAGCATATTTCTCTCATAATTATACCCTTGAAGTAAATACCCACAATATGTTGAACACCCTGAAGCAAGGAGTGATTTGTGTTTTGTTTCCTGTTCACTTGTTGTTTAGCCATTCTTCTCTCCTTTCTCAACATCTGTCTTTCTAGTATTCACCTCTGCACACCCATTGTCATGCCTTCTAAATGGAAAATGGTTGGGTTTCCTCTCTGTAACTTTGGGTTTTGACCTTAGTGCACCATGTAAAATGCCCTGAGATGACATGTGTTATGCTCTGGAGCTACACAAAATGTAATAGAATTGAACTCAGTTTAATTTCTTTTTTTCCCACCCCATTCTATTTTGCTTGTTCTCCATTCCCACTCTTTTTCCTATCAGTTTCTTATTATCCATCTTTCCTCACAGTCTCCCTATTGCTCTCAAAGCCTAGTTTCACACTCTCTCTTTATGTCTGTTTCTCCTCCTCACAGCACTTGAGGTCATTTTGGGCTGAATTGATCAAGGTCATCAAACTTATTTCAAATTGGGCCATTAGCAAATCATTACTCTGAATCAGACTATTGACCAGACTGTAGAGGCAGACTGAGGCTGCCTATTTTGTGAGTGCAGACCTCCAACTCGTGGTGGGTGGTTGATTTTTCTTTTAATACAGTAAGTTGAAAAGTTCATTGTTTAATTGTTAATTCATTTCATTTGAAACAAAAAAAATATATACAACATATATACACAAGAAATATAAAAATCAAATTGAAATGAAAGGAGGCAGAAAAAAAATCTTATAATATCTGTCACTTTTTTCTATAATTAATTTAAATTTTTGGTATTAAAAAGTATTCACCTCCAAAGGATYCCCATTGTATTTCCCCACTACATGAAATTTAATTTACTCTAGTGAATGGACTGAACTTAGTGTTGTTATTTTTTTTTATAACTCTAGAAAATTAAACAAAAAGTGACCAGTTGTTTTCAGAGCCACATTTGTCTCATGTCTCCACAAGCAAGGCACAACTTGCCACTAGGATTTTTTATTTATTTATTTATTTTTTTATATATAAAATGTTCCAGATCATTCAGGGTTGATTGGTGCTTTTATGTATCCAACAATCTTTAAGTTGGACTAAAAACTCTCAGGTGGTTTGAGGACATTTGGTTTACCGACTCCAAAGTTGCTAAAAAATAACTAAAATGATCACGGGGATCTGTAACGCTTTCTTTTATGGTACACTTAYTACCATGTAATTACGTGGTAATTAGGGTACAAAATAAAAACTACTGTTAGTAAAACTACCTTTATTGGGTAACTTTTATCAAATTACTGTTSAATAGTAACTCAACACTATATTTAGAACCAAAAGAATGCAACTAAATTTTGGGGTTAGTGGTTAATTGCAATAAAATATAACTTTAAAACTGTCCAAATTACCTACTACTTGTTTAGATGTTGTTTAGGTGTTACATGGTGTATTGTAATCCATTACCAGGTAAGTGCTACATTACTGCAGATAATTAAATACATAGTAAAATTGTACCCCCCAGGTATAAGTGCTACATTACTGCAGACAATTACATAATAAAGTTGTACCCTAATCACCACTTAATTACATGGTAATAAGGTAGTAATTACAATAAATTGCCATTTTTTCATTACCTTGTAATTGCATGGTAATAAGGGTATTGTAAAAGAAAGCGTTACCCGGGATCTTGCATGTGTCAGGTGAGGTCATCTAGTCTGTCTTACTGCAGTTAGGTAGAGGGTATCATGTTCTAGATTATTTCTGCAATGACGTCACAGGAAAGCAAGAGGCATTGGCACCTCATTCTTTGCTGGACTTTTTTTTTTTTACTGTTACTGAAACTGTGTTTTAAAATGCTTCAACATGTGATTTGGTGGTTTTACAGTCTTTATTTTAGTTTTTGTTTGTTAGTTTAGTTTATTTGTCATGAGCACTGCTCAGCGCCTCTGACACTAAGTGTAAAGTAAGAACGAGGTTAAATCTCTTCGGAGCGTGCGTAAAAGCACCGCAATCGTGTGCCAGAGGTCTCACCGGTATTACAGAGGTTGGCTGGAGCCTTGCACCACGTGCGCTCTTCAAACATCTTGCAAATTAGGGGAATATTATGAGATTTTTTTATGTATTTAGGGAGAAGTCCTGCTGTTTTTGGCCTCTGCTCTGTGGATTAAAAAAAGGATGATTTTTCTCGAATCATCACGTTGTTTTTGTTGCACAGGAGGATTGCACTGTTTTGGAATGCGCATTAACCTCTTTTCGACATTTCCTCCTCTGGGCTTGTCTACACCCTGCTGCATGAGCCTGTCTGCCGCTGGGATATGTGGAAATAATGTGCTTTGAATGTTTGTCATCAGCCGGCCTTGGAAAAAAAAATGAAACTCCTTTGAGATGAAAAGCTGCACTTTTGGGGATCACCTTTTGCTCGTGCGCGGCTCGAGCCTCATCTTGCGCCTCAACAGCCTGTTGTTTGTGTCCGAGCAGGAACGCACAAGTTTGACGCGAGCTGGAGCCGGAGCGCGAGCCGGAGCGAGGACTGCAGCTGGTCTGAGCGGCACCACATCAGGGCCAAAGGCGGGGGGGCAGCAGTGGGACCGACGGCGCGGCCCCGCTGTTGCGTTGTCGTGTGGTTGGACGGGGGGTCCGGCGCAGTTGTGGAGCGGGGATGACGAAGTCGGTGGTGATGAGGAGGATGATGAATGGCTCGACAGCTCGACCAGGCACCGGGCGCTCGCCACCACTCCGTCTCCTGCTGTGCGCTCTCCTTTTTCTCCCTCCATGCGCTCACTCGCACCCGCAGCCTTGCCAGGTGTTGAAACGGATCGGCCACACGGTTCGGGTAGGGGCTCTGAACGTGCAGCCCCGCTTGTTGCCCACAGCTGCTGGCAGCGACTCTGGGGAAACCTCGGCGGGAGAGCAGCAGCCTTTGGAGTTAAAGAAACCTCTTAAAATAGGTGCTAGCGCGCACGGATTTGGAAACCTCAGGACCAGAGTCCCCGCTAACAACCAGCGGGGCGCAAACAGGAGTAAAAGCCAGGCGCGACAACGAGACGGAAACCCCCCAGAGGAGGATCGCGTGTTCTCACCCCGGGAGTCGGTCCTGCTCGCGGTCGAGGCTCTGAACCAGGCCGGATTGCTTCCATACAATTTGTCCCTGGAGCTCGTCATGGCGGTCGGATCCGCGCTTGGCGAGCTGCCCGCGTTCTCGCACTCCTCCGCGGGCGTCCCCGAGGACGAGGACCCGCTGTCCTTCCTGGAGAGCGTGTGTCACACGGTGGTCGTCCAGGGTGTTTCCGCCATGGTCGCCTTCCCACGGAACCGGGACGACCTCCTTAAGTTGGAGTTCGTTACTCTTGCGCTCCAGGTGCCGGTGGTCAGCGTCGTGCAGAGGGAATTCTCGCGCCAGAGTGAGGTAAAAATAAAAACAAAAAAAGTTTATTTTCAGCTACTTCTGAACTGTTCATTATAAATTTTTGTTTCACAGGAAAAAGCCATTCACTTTATTGTTTGAAAAAAGTTAGCTTTCCAGTCACGTTGTGGGTTTGTTGACCCATAAGAACTTTTTAACCAAAAACATGGAGGATGAAATTATTCTGGTTTTTTGTCCCATTTTGATATGAAGCTTTGCATTTGACAGCCAATCCGAAGCTCTTATTTCTCATTTTTGTTCTGCTGATCAGTTCTGACCAAATATGTTAATAAGCATTTGTCATATAGAACTAAAACCATAAATAAAGCAGGCTGGAGACATCTGTGTGCTGTCCATGGTGCTGAAATGCTCAAATCCACTGGGTGTTCAGAACAAAAGAGGCAGACAATGTTTCATTCTCTTTTTTTTTTTTTTTTTTTTTTTTTTTGTTTGACAACTTTGGGGTGAAACAAGGCTAAATGACACATATCATACAGACACGATATGAACAAACAGCTGAAATTTGACACCATAAAGAGTAAAGACACCAATGCAACCACTCAGTAATACTTAAATCTGCCCCTGTGTGCTGAAATGTGTCAGGAAAATCCAGTTAGCTCACAAATAAGCAGCACTGCAGACCAAACCCTTTTCTACATTCTGATCTAGTGTTCTATGAGTAGCATACGTAAAACAACTCACTCATACAGAACCACTTTGGGCTTGATAAATCTMCTGCCATTTGGCCAATTCCTGAGGTGAATGCACAGTGAACATTGTAACATCACAGAGGTCATTTTGGCAGTTCAAGTAAAAGTTTTCGTCTCTGTTTGAAAGACACCAATGTGCACTGAAGCACCAATACAGCTCCATTTAATTTTTTTATTATATTTTTTGTCCATCATCTTGTTGTATGTAAAACAAACATTATACACTAAAATATCACACAACTAAGACAAAATTAGTAAAATCCTGCAAGAAAAAATGAATTAAGATCCATAGAATTTTGGCAAAACACACAGACAAACAGCTCTCTTTGGGTCTCTATAAATCAGACATACTTTACAATTCAAACATTATTTAAAGTTTAACCAGGCCACAAAAAGTTGGACTTTACAAACCTGAACTTATTATCAATAATCTTTTCTTTTTTTTTTCTTTTTTACATTTCATACAATCTCAGTTTAGGTTTTAGGATTTTTACAAATTTCCTGTTCAGATATGGCACACATTAGATTTTGATCTGTATAAAATGGCTAAATATTTTGAAATTTAACTCTTTTTTAACCCCTGAACCATTAATATATTTACAAATTATCAGAAGAAAAATTAGATAAGTTTGCCTTTGTTTACCCAGTGTGCTTTTCACTGCTATCAGATTAATGATTTCTTTTCTCAAATACCCCCAGAATGCAGAATTCACAATCAAGCTTCCATTGAATTAGTTAAATCTTTGCTCTAAACCTTGTCCTAAAAAGTTTGAAGTGAAGAGTCTTTTTAAGTTGTCATGTCTTTGACATAAAATGCTGATGAAACTTCAGAATGCCCATGTGTGACCATCAGTTTCATCTCCTGCTCTCAGCTCAAAAATTTAAGATTTGTCATTTAGTTTTGCACAGTGGTTGCTTGA